CCAGAGCCAGGGCAAAGTCCCCCCCCTCCAGCTGGCCTGAGGCTCAGGGAGCGAGTTTGGGTGGGGCAGAGGGGGAGCAGGGCTGTGGGGGGAAGTCTGGCTGCAGGCTGTGGGGAAGGGTGTACAGGGGGTGAGGGCTGGGAGATGAGAGGGGACAAGGTGGGGGTGCAGTGCTTCCTGGGGTACTCCCCTCGGGCAGTGGCTGGGGGGCGGTAGGGGGGATCTTTGTGTGCTGCTGCCCCAGGCAGGATCCCTGCAGGCTCCCATTGGCTGCAGAGAAACCACCCTGCCCGGGGGCCACAGGCATTTGCCAGCAGCCCTGAGGAGCCAGCAGCTAGAAGGTGCCTCAGCCCTGCTGTGCTGCTGGTGGCTAAATCACCTGCGGGCAGCAGGCAGGCCAGAGGACGTATGAGGCGGGCGGGGCGCAAAGACCCAGGCCCAAACTTTGGTGGAGCCAGGCCAGGAATGTTCTTGGGGCCCGGGCCCTTGGATCCGGAGAACTCGCCATATATATGCATAAAGCAGAGGGGTAGATTGTTTCCTCCTACCCTCAAGGGATTCCCAAGATAACCAGGCTAGTCTTAATAATATCCAGGTCTTAGAGCGTTCCAGAAAGGATGTCAGGCTAGGTACCCCCATTTTACATATTAGGAAACTGAAGCACAAGTTAGAATTGACTTGCCCAAGGGCATCAGCAGTTCTGGGACTAGAACCTAGATCACAATAGTCCCGCTCCAGTGCTCTAGCCCACACAATTGCTGACAATTTAGCTGTAGGACTAATACATTCCATACTAGCCAATTAGCCCATCATAAGACAGGATTTTCAGGTCTTCTCTCCTGAGCCTCCTGTCTCTCGCTCCATGTCTCTCTCTCTCTCCTCCTACTGCCTCCCTCCCCTCTCTCTCTCAGCTCTCCTCCCTCTCTCTTTCTCTTCTCCTCCCCCTCCTGCCTCTCACTCGGGGGGACCGCAGAGCCCAAACGGCTGTTTGGGCACCACGCTCCCCGTGCTGCATGGGGAGCACAGAGCCCAAACGGTCACTTGCTCCCATGCGGCGGCCTGGTTGAGCGGCTCAGATGTCAGCCGAGTGCCGCGGCAGGAGGCGAAAGACGTGACTCAGGCAACAGCGCCACTCAGAGGGAACAGCCAGGGAGGCTCAGTGCCACCCACAAGGAACAGCCAGCATTTCAGCATTACAGAGTCACAGACATTGGGCTACTCTATATATGATGGTAGGCCCATGATCAACAGTCTCAACAGATCCAAGGCAAGGTGAGGGACCCTGCTCCATGCTCCCAGAAGAGGCAGTGCCTCGGGCAGAAGGGGTGGTACTGGGGCTACACAGACCTCAGCACCACCCAGACAGCACCCTACCTCCCCTAGGCAGCCCTCAGTGTTGCTCAGAACACAGCGTACAGCCCTCCAGTAGTGATTTAAAGGGTCCACTGCCACTGCTGTGCTCTTGGCCCTTTTGTATTGCCTGGCCCCAGGGCAGTTGCCCCCTCCTCCCATCAGCAGGCCTGCCAATGATTAGTCACCTAATGCAAGTGATTAAGTTCTATTCTCAAAAGTCATGTAGGCTAAACTTTTGCAGGTCACAGATGTGAAAAAAACCTCCCCCCAACCAACAAAAGTTTCTCTGACAAAAGCGCCATTGTGGAGAGTGGTATGTCAGCTGGAAAGCATCCCAATGACATAGCTACTGACACTCTTTGGCAGTAGTTTACTTACAGCAGTGCTGCCAGCATAGAGCAGCTATGCAGGAGACGTTACAGCGGCACTGCTGCACCAGTCCAGCTGTGCCCTGTAAGTTCCATGCTGCAGACAGCCCAGCTGTGCACTGTAAGTTCCATGATGCAGACAGCCTTGCAATCCTTCCAGTAAAGTCTACACTAAAAGTGCTTTGTAAAATTGCCTTTTAAAAAAGCATCAAGAAAGAGAAGTCAAGGAAGGAAAGGAGGATAAAATCACGTAGGGTTTTCCTACTAATCTTATATAAACTTTATAATAAAACTGTCATTAGAGTCATACATTTATTAGCTTAAGCTTCAGGGAGGCCATTGCCAAGAGGAATGATGTTGAATCACTAAGTATTATTAGAACTATGCTTTCCAAACTTTTCTGTGCCACAGTTTAATCAGCACCCAGTACTGAATATTTATCTGTACAGGTAATGTCCCCAGGCAGGTAGGCCTTGTCTACACTATTCAGTGAAGTCAGTTCTGCACTTGTCCTTTGTCTTCTGGTACAACTGCCTCAGTTCCTTTATTTTTATGCAGCACTGCTGGGTGTCCCTGGCCTATCTTTCTCCTCCGTGCCCTTTGCAATCTTGGCATAAATATCTGCATTTCTTGTGCAGGTTTGTAGTTATGCAAGAACAGATTCCTCTCCCCACACAGCAGTAAGTTCCAGGATCTCCTGCAGGTTCCATGCTGGTGTTCACCTGCGACCCTGGGAACACATGGTAAGGTGTGCTGCCTGCTCTGAGGTCTGCTCGCCACTCTGGCCACACAGGAGATGAAATTCAAATTTTCCCAGGGCTTTTCCTGTTCACCTGGAGAGCAGTAGAGTTGAAAAGTCCTGGCCAGAGTGGTCACTGTGGGGCACTATGGGACACCTCCCAGAGGCCAACTTCTTCGACTTTCCGAGTGTTGCGTTTGTACCACCATAAAGTCAATCATGCAAGGTCAAATTTAGTGTTGCTCCTTGTGAAAAGCAAGAGTACCAAAATCGACTATAACAGCCCTTAAAGTTGATGAAATGGGCTTGATAATGTGGATTCATTGTTTAGAAATTTGACCTAATGTGGCTAAGTTCAACCTAAACTGACAATGTAGACCAGGCCAAAGACAACATAAATGAGCCTAGCACATTTGTATCTTTAAAAGAAAATGCAGCTGTCTCCTCAGAATGATGTTTTAAACAAATATGCTTAGCAAATGAACAGAGGGTTACTCAACAGTTTGGCTTAAACCCCAGCGCTTAGACCCAGAGAAAAATATAAATTTGCCACGCTCTCTCAAATTGACCACAGTTACAAATGAAATTAAATATAAATAGCCACTCAGGATCTCAGGATAGTAACTTGATGAGCAAACATACAAGACTACCCTGAATGAACAGGCTGTCTTTGAAAGATCCTGCTTCAGTAAATATTAATCACACTTTGTAAATACAGGCAGTCCCCGGGTTACGTACAAGATAGGGACTGTAGGTTTGTTCTTAAGTTGAATTTGTATGTAAGTCGGAACTGGTACATATTGTAGGGGAAACTCTAGCCAAACATTTCTCCAGAGCTCAGTTTTATTCTCCCACACCTCACTTCCCTCAGCCCTTTATTCTCAAGCTGAAGTGTCTGCTGAGAAAAGCCGCTCCGCGTCTCCCTGGTCTGCTGGGAGGGGCGCTAGCTTCACGTCTCCCTGGTCTGCTGGGGGGAAGCAGCTAGTGTGGGGTTGCCTCACCCCGTTTGTAAGTAGGGATCCGATGTAAGTCGGATCCATGTAACCCGGGGACTGCCTGTATGTAAAAGTGTAAGTGTTTATCCTCCTATGCCTCAGCAGTAAAGATTGTAATGATTTACCAACTAGACATCTTATAAAATTACAACTCTATTATGTGTTTGGATAGAACGTTGGACATCAAAGCCATCTTTTTCCTAACACAATATGGCAGAGCCAGACATTGTGTTAAATGCTCCACCGAACAAGCTAATCAATGGAATGAGTTCCTTTCTGTACAGTGTAATGCTAGGCACACAGTCACATTCCAGAGCACAAGTCACACTGTGCTCAAAATTCAATTTACTTCAAATGCTTCCTCTTAAAGGGCTAGAATTATCCCCGGGAAAGATCTTGTATATAAGATCGCTCTCACATGCTCTCTATTGTGTATTTTAAGGAATTCCTTATTATGGTAAGAAATAAATGCAGGTAGAATTAAGTTCACATCACAGAAGTAAAACTCTACTTATATCTGGGCCCTTGGGAGGCAGTGTTCTCTAACGGACAGGCCACTGAACTCAAGAGTCAGAAGGCCTGGGGTCTGTTCCTGGCTCTGTTGCTGCCTGACATTAGGCAAATCACGTCATCTTTTGGTGCCTCTCTCCCAATTTTTGTTTGTCTTTTCTATTTAGACCGACAGGGAAAGTAACTGAACATGTCTTACAGGTACTGTCCCATTGCAATCCGGGTCCCTGTCAGCTCTTTAAATAGCTCCTTGCTGACTCTTGCCACAGCTCAGCCAGCTCTTGCTGGAACTGTGCACCAGGGCGCACCCACTTACTTTCGCCTCTGATTTAGACCATAAATTATCATAGAATCCTAGGGCTGGAAGAGATCTCAGCAGGTCATTGAGTCCAGCCCCCTGCCCAAAGCAGGATCAATCCCAACTAAATCATCCCAGCCAGGGCTTTATCAAGCCAGGACTTAAAATTTTTCAGGGCAGAGGCTGCTTCTCTCTGTGTTTGTACAGCACATAGCACAATAGGGCCCAAATAGCAGTTGGAGCTACAAGATCCAATGCCTAGAAGTTGAAGCTAGACAAATGCAGACAGTGAGAGCAATTAACAAGAATCCATCAGGATTCAGATTCTGAAGAAGTTTCCACCAGATGCAATTTTTAAATCAAATTTGCAATTATTAAAAAACATGCTCTAGTTCAAAAGGACAACAGGAAGTCAGAGCAGATAATCACAAAGGTCACTTTTGGCCTTGGAATCTATGAAACTATAAATAATAATAGCTGAATCCCACAAGCTTCTGCAACTTGAGAGTGTGTCTACAGGTTGCCTTTCCGGT